GCCTCGCCGGCCCTGTCGCCCCCGAGGTCGCGGCACGCCGTCAGCACGGCGGAGGAGGGGCTGGCGCGCCAGTAGCCGGCTGGGACGCCGAGGGTCGCGAGAGTGGTGTCGTCCGAGCACTCGGCGTTTGGCGGGCATGGCTTGCAGTAGTCGGTCGGGGAGGAGACGATGTCGGCCGGGTCGGCGCTCTGGAGCAGGTAGAAGTCCTTCTGGCAGACGGAGCAGATGACGGCGCCGCGCTCACTGCTGAGTGGGTGGGGGCAAGGGACGCACTGGCCCTGGCCGGGGTTGGCGGCGTAAGTGCCTGCAGCGCACTCATCACATGAGTGGCTACCTCGATTCGAGTAGGATCCCGAGGGGCAGTCCGTGCACTCACTCAGCCCGGGCTCGCCGCCAAATGTCCCAGCACGGCAGCGCGCGCACGTCTCACTGCTGACTGCGCTGGCGGTCGGGCTAGAGGTTCCGGGGGGGCACTGCTGGCAAGCGTCAGGTGAGCTGCTGCCCGTCTTCTCGTTGTAGCTCCCCGCAAGGCAGGGCGTGAAGCCGCCGCCACAGTCGTCTGTGACTTCGCAGTACCCACCCGCGGCACACAAATCGCACGACGTCTGGCCGCGCTCCGGCTGGAACTCGCCAGCAGGGCACTGCACGCACGCAGCCTGGCCGGTGAGGTTCTGGTATTGCCCTGCGGCACAGTCGAGGGGTTGCACGGTGCCTGCATTCGGGCAGAAGCGTCCCGCGGGGCAGTCGGTGCAGCCGGTGGCGTTGAGCTGATCGGCGAACGTGCCAGGAGGGCACTCGTCGCAGGGACGGTCCGTGCCGGCTGTGGACTGGCTCGTCCCCGGAGAGCAAGGGAGGCACGACTCGGCACTGGCTGCGCCTATCGCGGGCATGTAGAAACCAGGCGCACACGGGAGCGGTTCCGCGGTGCCCTTGGGACAAAAGTGGCCTCGCTTACACGCACCTTCGCAGGAGGAGTTGGTGAGGCCGCTCGTGTTCCCAAAGTAGCCAGCAGGGCAGAGGTTGCACTCGGGGACGCTGAAGTCGCCAAAAAAGGAGCCCTTGCGCGGCATCCAGCTGCCCAAGCGGCAGTCCCAGTCTATTGGCTTGTCGGTCTGTATCGTGGCACCGTCGTTGTCGTCGCCAGCGGTGTTGCCGGTGAAGGAGGCGTCGCTGATCGAGGAGGGCGTGTTTGAAAGGTACAGCACCGAGCCTGACCCGTCCGCTCTGTTGTCGATGAAGTCGATACCCGCGATGGAGAGGGACTCGCTGTTAGACGCGATGACGACGCCGCCCTCCTGCGGTTGCGAGGAGGGAGCGGGGTGACGCAGCCGTGGCCCTCTCGATCTCTCGCCCCGCTGCCGTGCGGCGCTGCTGGAGGCCGGCTAGCTCTACGCGGCGCACATAAGAAGCATAACAGCCCGACACATCCGAGTTGATGATCGAGACCGCACCGCTGCGAGTCGCGAAGACGACGCCGCCGGACTGCGGTTGCGAGGAGAGAGCGGGGTGAGGCAGCCGCGGCCCTCTCGATCTCTCGCCCCGCTGCCGTGCGGCGCTGCTGGAGGCGGCTAGCTCTACGCGGCGCACAATGCCAGCCGAGCAGCTCGTCAGATTCGAGCTGATTATCGAGACCGCACCGCTGTACCACGCGTGGATGACGCCGCCCTACAGCGGTTGCGTAGACAGAGCGGGGTGAGGCAGCCGCGGCCCTCTCTACCTCTCGCCCCGCTGCCATGAGGCACTGCAGGGGTGCGGCTAGCTCTACGCGGCGCACATAAGAAGCAGAGCAGCCCGTCACGGCCGAGCCGATGATCGAGACCGCACCGCTGTACTGCGCGGAGACGACGCCGCCGTACTGCAGTTGCGAGGAGAGAGCGGAGTGAGGCGCCGTGGCCCTCTACATCTCTCGTCCCGCTGCCGTGCGGCGCTGCTGGAGTGCGGCTAGCTCTACGCGGCGCACCCCGTACATGCCAGTAGCCCTGCAGTCTCTGACCGTCGAGTCGATGATCTCGACGTCGCCTGCGCCCTTCGCGTACACAACACCGCCCTCGACGCCGCTGCCTGCACTCCTCCCGTTGACGAGGGTCAGCCCCCGCAGGGTGAGGCTGCAGCCGTACGAGAGGTAAAAGAGCCCGGTCTGTTCCTGGCCGTCGAGCGTCGCGCCCTCGCCGCTGCTCGCGACGGTCACCTTGATGTCGGAGGAGCAGCTGATCCGGCTGTTCAGCTTGAAGTCTGCCCTGGGCGGCAGGTAGATTGAGACGTCGGCTTGCGAAGCAGCAGCATCCGTGATCAGGGAGCGGAGCTCGGCCTCGCTCGACGCGGCGACATCGAAGCCGGGGAAGACCGGCGGCAGCGGCGGCAGCGGCGGGGGCGGCGACAGAGGCGGCAGCGGCGGAGAGGACGGCGGCGGAGGGGGCAGCGACGGCGGCGACGGCGGCAGCGACGGCGGCGGCGGAGAGGACGGAGGGAGGGGGGCGAGGATGAACGTCTCGCTGCCGGAGGATCCGGAGCCGAGCGTGAACGTATAGCCCGCACCCTTCCACTCGTTGCCGTTCCAGCCGTCGCCGTACGAGTCGTACATGTCGAGCGTGCACTCGCCGGGCGGCGCGGACAGGGTGCCAGAGTAGGGAGCCCCTCCACTGCCGATCAACGCGCCGCTGCGCGTCAGGTTCCACGACACCTCGGACGGATAGCTGCCGCCACCCACGGTGACGAGGAACTCGACTGAAGCTGCTGGTGGCGACGGCGGTGGCGACGGCGGAGGCGACGGCGGAGGCTCCGGTGGAGGCGACGGCGGCGGCAGCGGCGGTGACGATGGCGGCGGAGAGAGTGGGGGTAGAGAGGGCGGCGACGGTAGAGAGGGCGGCGATGGCGGCGGCGGCGGTGGCGAGGGCGGAGGCGACAGCGGAGGCAACGGCGGCGGCGGCGGCGGCGGCGGTTTGGGCGGAGGGGGCTCACCTGATGGATCCGTGGCAGACGCGGCCGCCCTGCCGACGAGCAGCGCGGCGGCAGCCACGCGGACATGGGCGGCGGATGGCTCGAGCGAGGCGATTCCGCCGAGATGCAAGGCTACCGCGCCGACGAGGCCCGTCTCGACCAGCCTCCGGGCCTTCCCAGCAGCGTCGGCGGGACACGACTCGGGTACGATGCTGTTGACGGATAGCAGACCCGGCATGGCGCCGCGCCACCGAGTGTACCTCGCATTCGAGGCCGCGTAGGTCACGCCGCACAGGCCGACCATCGCGACAAAGAAGAAGAAGAAGAAGAAGATCTGAGTGCGGCAAGCACCAGCGGTGCCGCCAGTCAGTGCCATGCCCTCGTTCTCCTTGGCGCGCCTCGAGCGCTTCTGGCCGTCCATCTTGTAGCCTCTCCACTTCAGCGCCACGACAGAGACGCCCAAGCACCCCACGAGGGCACCCATGAGGAGGGGCCAAAGAGAGCTGCAAGCCGTGTCCGTCTCGGCCATGAAGATTTCGGCCTGTGGAAAGGCAGGCGCGGGCGACAGTCCGCCAGGCACGCTGCGAAGAGGCGCGAGGAGTGATAGAAGCGAGTGGCTTGGCAGGGCACGCAGGGGAGGCCGTGCGGCAGGCAGGGGCAGGGGGGAGATGGGCTGGCGATGCGGTGCTCGGATCGCCTGGTCCGCCCCCTCCTCCTCGCCCTGCTCGACCTCGAGCGTGAAGGAGTCGGCCCAGACGAAGGAGGCGCAGCGTGGCCGCGAGCCGGCGAGGTCACTCGAAAAGGAGAAGAGATCGGTCGACTCGGCCGTCTTCGAGTCGGCGATCTGAGTGGCGCAGACCTCCGCGGGCCGCGCTAGCTCCTCCAGCGACGCCTCGCTGCGCTGATCCTCCACCACCTCGGTCTTTGGCGGAACCGGCAGATGCATGGGCACCGCCTCAGTCTCGGACCACTGGGCCGGGATGGGCAGCGACGCCTGGGCCTTGCCAGAGGAGGCCCAGCAGCCTGGTGGCTCCTCGGACTCGAGCGAAAATCGCCGTTCCGCCGTGGCGGGGCGGCGGGTGCGCACCTGGAGCGGCCAACGGAGCGAGTGTTGATGCAGGGCTGACAGGGCAGGCAGACAGGGCAGCGGCGCGGGTGGGCAGAGCCAGAGGGGTGACGGTTTAGCAGCCGATGCAGCGGCGTGGGGAGTGCAGTGCGGGTCGACAAGCGCCTGCTCCGCCCGCTCCAGCTCGCCCTCCCCGACCTCGAGCAGCGAGGAGTTGGCGCAGGCAAAGAAGGCGCAGGCGCGCTGCCAGTCGGCGCACCCGCTTGGGACGGAGAAGCGATCGGACTCGACCGCGTTCGAGTCGGAGATCCGGGTGGAGCGGAGCGCTGCAGGACACGCAAACTCCCCCAGCGCGGCCGTCAGGCGCGCATCGACGGCCCGCTCGCTCTGGAGGAAGAGGAGGTGCTGGGGCGCTGCCGCTCGCCCGCCGTCCGTCGGCTTGGTCGTTGGCGGGCCGCTCGGGGCGCGGAGGCCGATGGACGCCTCAAGAATCGTGAGAGGGGCGGACGCCGCATACGGCGGCGCCTCGGTCTTTACAGAATCCTTGGTTGGGACTCGAGAAGTGTCCGCGACTGCGTCGTTCGCTCGCCACCCGCCGCCGGCTTGCATGCAAGGTCCGGGAGGAGGATGGCCGCCGACGCGGACTGTTGGGCTTGAGACGCTCTGGCGCGCGGTCGCCGCGGCGAGGACGCTCGCGAAGGTGCAGAACATGAATCGCGGCTGCAAACCCGGCCCGTGCGGCATTGTGTGGGCGACTGCTCGCTGTGAAGACACAGGTAATAAAATGAACTCGGGGGCACGGGACACAGGTTTTCAGTGTTTCTTATTAAATGAACTCGGGTGTGTGTGTGTGTGCGCGCGCGCACACACACACACACACACAAACTCACACGCCGCGGAAAAGAAAAGAAAGAACCCAGCCAACCCAAACGAGGGATGGGGAAGGAGGACAGGGTCCCCACCTGCACGAGCAGGATTTTGGAAGGACGATCAATAAATAAATAAATACAACGTACACGCCAAACGAGGGGTGGGAGAAGGACAGGGTCCCCACCTGCACGAGCAGGATCTTGTAAGGACTATCAGGGACACAGGGGAACGGGAGCGGGGAGCGCATCGCGACACGGAGGGGGGCTGGGCAGGGTTCACCCTCACGACAGGGTCCCAGGGATTCCTCTCTCGTATAGGACAGGTTGCACCCGGCGGCACGGGGGCAAGCGCGGGCCTCCTACTGGTTGCGCTCTCCTAGTTCTCCTGCTCCTGACAAGGGACAGCGACAGGCTCGCAGCACGGTGGACTCCCTATCCACTGGCGATCTCTCTCGACTAGCGACCTTCCTCCGACTTCTCACCGGCAGTCTCTTCTACCACAGGCAGACTGACACGTGGGTGGCAGTGGCGGTGATAGGAGTCTCCCACTCTGTGGGCCTCGCTAGAAGTGCGACCCCTGCGCGTGTCCTCGCCCTTGAAGGGGAAGGGGCTGTGTGTCTGTGCATGTGTACAACATGTGTGTGTGTGTGTGTGTGTGTGTGTGTGTGTGTGTGTGTGTGTGTGTGTGTGTGTGTGTGCTCGCTCGCTCGCTCTCGCGCGCCGCTTGCGCGATCGCGCGCGCGCGCTGCGCGAGCCGCCCTGCCCGCTGCGCTGCTAGGGTTGCGCTGCGGGAAGGGCTCGGCGGCCGTTCCTAGAGCTCCTCGTCGCTCCCCCCGTATAGCGAGGGCTCGTTGGACTCGAGGAGTGGGCCGCCGTCGTAGGGGGAGCGGGCGGCTCCGCGGGCGACGCTCGCCCAGTCCTTCTTGTTGCTCTTGACCTCGCCGCCGCCGCCGCCGCGGCCGCGGCCGCCGCGCCCGCGCCGCCCGCGGCTTGTGCCCAGCCTGACCGCGCTCGGCATGCGCTCGTAGATAGTGTCCTTGAAGGCGGAGTGGAGGAGCGCCTCGAAGTTGACGCACGGCGCGTAGCGGCAGCGAGCGGCGGTCTTGCACGGGAGGGCGGTCTGGTTGAAGGCCGGGCAGAAGCCGATCCCGTCGCGCGCCGCCATCGCCTTGGCCTTGCCCGCCGCGCGCGCGACCTCGACCTTGTTGTCGACGATGAGGCTCTCGAAGGTCTTCTTCTTGGCGACGTTCGCCGCTGCGGCGCGCCTCTCCTTGAGCGCCTGCGCGGCGCACTGCGCGTCGTGGATGATGTCGGCGTTGGTCAACCCAAATGCGCGGCAGGAGGGGCAGAGTTTGTTGCCGAGGACCTTGACGCACCCGACGTCGAGGCGGAGGGGTCCGCCGACATCGCCGCTCGCGTAGACGTTGGGCAGGACCGGGAGGTTGCAGACGAGGTTCTCGTTCTTCACCTTGAAGAGGATCGAGCCGTCCTTCTCGTCCGACTTCGTGCCCAGGAAGGAGTGGTATCCCTCCTGGATGGAGACCATGTTGCCGAAGTGCTTCTCCAAGAGGGGGGCGAAGTGCTCGATCTGGGCCGCGGTGTCGATGGCGCCGCGCGTGCGTATGGCGAGGAGGCCGTCTGAGTCCGTGGTCGCCTGGGTCTCGCGCGCCTCCGCCTGCTTGCCCCACACGGTGGCGTCGAGAGCGGCGAAGGTGATGGTGATGTTGTCTGGCGCTGGGAGCTGTAGGACGCCACCGCCGGTGTACTGCTCGAGGAAGGCGCGTGCCTCGCTCTCGCCGCTGAAGGCGACGCAGATGGCGCGCGACGTGCCGATGATGGGCACGCTGATCGCGCTTGCCTGCTGCGCCTCGCCGCCTGGTGTCTTCTTGATCAATTGGCGCACCTCGGTGACGAGCGCCGTCTTGTTCTGGATGTCCGGGATGTGCGAGCCGTCGCGCGCCGCGAGCGCGACGTGCAGCAGGCGCTTCGTGCCGCGGTCGGTGCCGGCGGCCGCCGCAGCGGCCATCTGTGCAGCGTCCACCATAATGGTGTCGCCTTCTTTGGCGTCGTCGTCGTTGACGCGCGCGCTCGCGAGCTCGCCGTCGAGGCGGCGCTTCACGCCGAGTCTCTGGCCATCATCGGCCTCTTGCGCGCCGTCGCGGCCGCGCGCCGCGCCCTCGGCAGCGGCAGCGTTGAGCACCGGCGGCGGCAGGCCGGCCGAAGCGAGCGCCATTCAAGTGAAGCGCCGTTCAGGGATGACTGTGACACCCGTGACAAATTCTTCCCTTGTATTCGTAGAATTCTTCCCGAGCCGAGAGGAGTTCGGCGCCAGCAGCCCAGACACGCCGCTCGCCCTCAGCGTTCGGTCCTGCCTGGAGAGCGCCGCGCGGTCTGCGTCATGGCGACTCCTGAGTCGGCGGCTCCTGCAGCAACCGACATGGACACCACCGACATCTTTGGCGACGGTGCGCACGCGTCGTCTCACCCATGCGCTCTCACGCGCCGTGCCCGCGCCGTGCGCACGGCAAAGGCCCCGGGCATTGCCGTCGAACGAGTTCGCGCGGGGCGGCGGAGCGGCCTCGCCGCCAGCCGCGCGAGCCGACGCGGCCCCGACTGCGCCTCGCCCAGGTGACGACGGCGAGGACCTTGGCGAGGAGATTGCGCGGGCAGAGCCCGACGAGATTGCGCAGCGGACGCGGATGCTTGAGAACGAGATCAAGGTGCTGCGGAACGAGAACTCGCGGCTGCTGCACGAGCAGCAGACGCAGAAGGAGAAGATCAAGGAGAACGCCGAGAAGATCAAGCTCAACAAGCAGCTGCCGTACCTCGTCGCCAACGTCGTCGAGCTGCTAGACATGGATCCGGAGGTGGTATCTCCCCATATCTCCCCATATCTCCCCACATCTCCCCATACACATCTCCCCATATCTCCCGTGCTAGACATGGATCCGGAGGTGGCCTCCCCCCCCCCCTCCCCCCCTCCCCCCTCCCCTCCCGCTACTCCGCTCGCGCCCTCCCTCCCATCTTCAGAGACACTTCCCCATCTCTCCCCACACCTCCCCACACCTCCCCACATCTCCCCACACCTCCCCATATCTCCCCACATCTCCCCACACCTCCCCACGTCTCCCCACACCTCCCCACACCTCCCCACACCTCCCCACACCTCCCCACACCTCCCCACACCTCCCCACACCTCCCCACACCTCCCCACACCTCCCCACACCTCCCCACATCTCCCCACACCTCCCCATATCTCCCCACATCTCCCCACATCTCCCCACGTCTCCCCTGCAGGACGAGCCCGAGGAGGACGGCGCGAACATCGACCTTGACGCACACCGCAAGGGCAAGTGCTGCGTGCTCAAGACGTCGACGAGGCGAGACACTTCCGAGACACTTCCGAGACACTTCCGAGACACTTCAGAGACGATTCAGAGACGATTCAGAGGCGATTCAGAGACGCTTCCGAGACGCTTCCGAGACACTTCCGAGACGCTTCAGAGACGCTTCAGAGACGCTTCCGAGACGCTTGAGAGACGCTTGAGAGACGCTTGAGAGACAATCTTCCCCCCAGCTAGACACCTCCTAGACCCACCCCCACCCCCACCTCCACGCGCACCCCCAGCCCCACCACGCCGGCAGGCAAACCATCTTCCTCCCGTAGACACCTCCTAGACCCACCCCCACCCCACCCCACCCTCACCCCCACGCCACCCCCCGCCGCAGGCAAACCATCTTCCTCCCGGTCCCCGGCCTCGTCGAGCCGGACAGCCTCAAGCCTGCAGACCTGGTCGGAGTGAACAAGGACTCGTACCTCATCCTCGAGGTGCGCGCGAGATCTGGGCGAGATCTGGGGGAGATCTGGGGGAGATCTGGGGGAGATCTGGGGCCTCGAGGTACGCGCGAGATCTGGGGGAGATCTGGGGGAGATATGGGGGAGATCTGGGGGAGATCTGGCGGAGATCTGGGGGAGATCTGGGCGAGATCTGGGCGAGATCTGGGGAGTCAAAAAGGACGCGTACCCCATCCTCGAGGCTATATACCTCCCCCTCCCCCATATCTCCCCCCTATCTCCCCTATATCTCCCCTCTATCTCCTCAGCATAACTCCGCATCTCCTGGCGGTTGCCTCATGAACTCCGCATCTCCTGGCGGTTGCCTCATGCCCATATCTCCCCCATATCTCCCCCATATCTCCTCACGTCTCCGCATCTCTAGGCGCTGCCGGCCGAGTTTGACTCGCGCGTCAAGGCGACGGACCGCATTTCTCCCCATATCTCCCCATATCTCGCCCACATCTCCCCCACATCTCCCCCACATCTCGCCCACATCTCGCCCACATCTCCCCCACATCTCGCCCACATCTCCCCCACATCTCGCCCACATCTCGCCCACATCTCCCCCACATCTCCCCCACATCTCGCCCACATCTCCCCCATATCTCGTCTAGGCGATGGAGGTGGACGAGAAGCCGACGGAGCAGTTTAACGACGTCGGCGGCCTCGAGGACCAGATCCAGGCGAGCTAGGGGGAGATACGGGCGAGATATAGGGGAGATGTGGGCGAGATGTGGGGAGAGATGTGGGAGAGATGTGGGGGAGATGTGGGGGAGATATGGGCGAGATATGGCGGCCTCGAGGACCAGATCCAGGCGAGCTAGGGGGAGATGCGTGGGCGAGCTAGGGGGAGATGCGTGGGCGAGCTAGGGGGAGATGCGTGGGCGAGCTAGGGGGAGATGTGGGCGAGATGTGGGCGAGATATGGGGGAGATGTGGGCGAGATATGGGGGAGATGTGGGCGAGATATGGGGGAGATGTGGCGGACTCGAGGACCAGATCCAGGTCAACCATCTCTCGTTTTGTACGGCCCTCGTTTTGACCGGGGCAACTCTCTCCCCTATATCTCCCCCATATTTCCCCCATATCTCCCCCAGATCTCCCCCAGATCTCCCCCATATCTCCCCCAGATCTCCCCCCACCCCCCACAGGAGCTCATCGAGGCGATCGTGCTGCCGATGACACACAAGGAGCGCTTCGCCAACCTCGGCATCAAGCCGCCAAAGGGAGCGCTCATGTACGGCCCGCCAGGCGCCCATATCTCCCCATATCTCCCCATATCTCCCCACATCTGAGATACATCAGCGCTCATGTACGGCCCGCCAGGCGCCGGCGAGATATGGCGAGATATGGAGAGATATGGGGGAGATATGGGGAGATATGGGGAGATATGAGCGCTCATGTACGGCCCGCCAGGCGCCGAGATGACGCGAGATTACGCGAGATCGCCCGAGATTGCCCGAGATACATCAGCGCTCATGTACGGCCCGCCAGGCGAGATATCTCCCCATATCTCCCCCAGATCTCCCCATATCTCCCCCAGATCTCCCCATATCTCCCCCAAGCACTGAGCCCGCCAGGCGCCGAAAGAAAGAAAGAACACAGCCAGCCCAAGGGAGGGGGTGGGAGGACGGCGCACGCCGCCACCACACAGGGATGTTAAGGAGAGGAGTGTGGTGGTGCTAGCCGTCGCCCAGCCTTGGAGGGGTGCCTGCCTCTTCCTATCGCCAGGCACCGGCCAGGGCGCTCCTCCTCCCACTGTTTTCTTTCGCACCCCCGGTTTCTTTTCTTCTTGCAGGCACCGGCCAAGAACGCTCCTCCCCCCACTGTTCTCGTTGCCGCGCGAACGTTTCTTTTTTCTTGCAGGCACCGGCAAGACCGCTCCTCGCACCTCGGTAGCCCTCTCCCACGATTGGTTTCTTTTGTCACGCCCGGCGTCTGTTTTCTTGCAGGCACCGGCAAGACGCTCATCGCGCGCGCTTGCGCGGCGCAAACCAACGCCTGCTTCCTAGGACAGTTCCGAGACATGTCCGAGACATGTCCGAGACATGTCGCCATAGGCGCAGACCAACGCCTGCTTCCTCAAGCTCGCGGCTGCCTAGAAGCGGAATATCTCCCCGTATCTCCCCGCATCTCGTGCCCTAGAAGCGGAACATCTCCCCGTATCTCCCCGTATCTCGTGCCCTAGAAGCGGAACATCTCCCCGCATCTCCCCAATCTCCCCGTATCTCGTGCCCTAGAAGCGGAACATCTCCCCGTATCTCCCCACATCTCCCCGTGTCTCTCCACATCTCCCCGCATCTCCCCATCTCTGCCATATCTCCCCATACCTCCTTGCATCTCTTCACATCTTCCCACACCTCCCACATCTCCCTACTTCTCCCCGTGTCTCCCCACATCTCCCCATATCTCCCCACATCTCCCCATATCTCGCCGTAGGCTCGCGGGGCCTCAGCTGGTCCAGATGTTCATCGGCGACGGCGCGAAGCTGGTGCGCGATCTCCCCACATTTCCCCACATCTCCCCACATCTCCCCACATCTCGCCATCTCGCCACATCTCGCCATATCTAGCTATATCTCGCCGTATCTCCCCATACCTTCGCCACGTAGGTGCGCGACGCCTTCGCGCTCGCCAAGGAGAAGCCGCCAATCTCCCCATATCTCCCCACATCTCCCCACACCTCCCCACATCTCCCCATATCTCCCCATATCTCGCCAAGGAGAAGCCGCCCGCCGTCATCTTCTCTCCCCCTCTGTCCCCCTCTGTCCTCCTCTGTCCCCATCTCTCCCCATCTCTCCCCGTCTCTCCCCATCTCTCCCCATCTCTGCCCATCTCTCCCAATC